TATATATATATATGAATGAATGTATATGTATGCATGCATATAAATATAATTAAAAATATATCTGTTATGTCTGTTATGTCGTTACGATGGTTTTTATAATAAATTCTAATCGTTTTTTGTCATAAAAACTATGTCATTGCCATTTTTTCAATATCAATTGCAATGAATGTATATGTATGCATGCATATAAATATAATTAAAAATATATATAAATATTCTGTTATGTCGTTACGATGGTTTTTATAATAAATTCTAATCGTTTTTTGTCATAAAAACTATGTCATTGCCATTTTTTCAAACGACACCATATCAATTGCTGAGACACACCGATATCGCAATCTGCAATTTCCCAGAAACGCAATCGATATTCTTTATGATTCATCAGAAATGTTTTCAGGACTATAAACAAAAGATTTATGTGTACTATTATATATAAATCTGATACGATACTCGGGTTGAATATTTACTTTTTAACATGCCGTTTGAGATTGGCTTAGAAAAGCCAATATCTTCATTCGGAAAACGCGCGATCATGTCCGATAAGATTTCTGTACCAAAACCCCGATTTCTATATTCTGAACGAATGTATGCCGTGTCCATTATGGGCATCACATATCTCTCTTTCGTCGAGAATATTTCTGTACCTAGGTAAATTATTAAAAAAGCTTTATGCGTTTATTCTCTCAACATTTCCTAAATTCTTCTCTAATATTACACTTAATTACCTGTAGGTTTAACAGTATAAAACCCAATCGCTTTTCCCTTATACCATCTCAGTGATACAATATCGTGCTCATCTACCGGAGCGTACAACGATTCGAATTTCTCTGCTCGTGGCGCGTCGAAGTTTGGATAAACAATCTGGCTCAATATGTAGTAGAGCACCTTATCGCGATCCGACTGGACTTGCCGCCATTCATCTACGAGTCGATCGCTACAGATATTATTAACATCGATTATTTCGCCATTTAACACTATATTTATGAAGTGATCGCCATCGATGCAATCTACAC